ATAAGCAATCCTGAAAAATATTTGGGGGTGCTTAACTTTTTTCCAGGTGTATATATATATTTGTCAAGGGCTGACACAGCTGTTATCCCCCATTTTTGTTTAAATGTATCAGTTTTAAAGTTTCACTTTTTGAGTTTGCAATATTATATTTTACAAACCTTTTGCTACTGCAAGGTGAATTTTATTCTTAGCTACATGATGTGCAGTACAGGTGAAGAGTTGCGAGGAATGTCTCGATGGGATGGGAAAGGTTTGATCTCTAGACAGAAGCTCATGGAAAAACTGCAAGGTGAATTTTATTTGATGTTTAAAGAACTCCAAAAACTATAGATAGATTATGGTATCTTATTATTTTGGATAGTGAAAATAAAGTTGTGCAAAAATTTTTGAAGTTTAATAATATAGTCTTTACACAGAAATGATATTGTTCAACATAATTTATGCAACTACACAATAACAAGAAGATTTTAGGTTTTTGATTTCCTATTTTTAAACAATTTATTAACCCTTAGAATACACATGTGTATAATAAAACATAAGCGTAGTGTGCTTTTTGAATAACTTAAACTTTTTTCTGGTTTCATAACTTTTTTGGGTGCTCTACAGCTTTATTTTGTAAAAGTCTTAAAACTAGTATTAAATTCACACTATATAAAGTAAAAATTAGTACTGAAAAGTTAATAAATTTTGTGAAAAACTAAGGAACATATGTGCTTTTTTATTTCATTTTACTTTAGTGATGTCCTTAGAGGCTCAGCAGTTAGCTCGAGGGCTTGTAACATCAATAATCGGGGGTCTCTGATCTTGCCTCTTAGGTGTCATATTAAGTGCTGTTCTTATTAAAAGTATCATAAAGATTGTCTAGCATTTACATTGTAAGATGTTTGAAAACAGAAACAAATGAAGTGTATTGTTTTTTTATACATTTACATCAACTAGTGGTTTTTTTGCAGATTTTTAAGTATTGTTTACTTTGGAAAAATATTAAGTTTTAAAACAGCTATTTGTGGTATAATAGACTTATTTCTATACATGGTCTCGTCTTTAACAGTGATCATGTATAAAATTTAAGGAACAATTACATTAAATGTTGTACATGACCATGTTTCACTGTTAGAGATGAAACATTGTACAGAAATAAATCTAATATCCCACAAATATCTGTCTCAAACTTTGTATTATTCATAAGTTAAGGGGGTACCTCTTAAAAAACATTGTTTACTCTTGTTCATGTCACTAGGGCATAAAGCCGTATCACAGTTATATTAATCATTGTAAACTCAGCAAAACTCTAAGATAGCACCTTGCGTCATCTTCATTTGGTCTGAACTTTTTTGTTGCCATGGTAAAGTTTATTTTACTTTTTAATATAGAAAACTGTAATCAATTATGTTATTACTTCTTTGACAACTTTGTTTGTTTTACAATGTTAATGAGTAGAAAATTCAGTAAGAATGGTGAAATGATTTTTTTCTCATAGCTTTTTTCCCTCCGGTTGTGATGTTACCTCCCAGGAGGCTACAGACACTACTTTCACAAGCTCTTGAGCTGCAAACAGATCGCTGCCTCTATCACAATGCAAGTTCAACCAACAGTTTGGAGAACGAAACACTGTTTGTTGATCATTTATGTACGAAGTAAGCTGGAAAACTGTGTAGATAATTACATAAATTTAGGCAGTCACACACATATATTATAGCTGCAAAACTCTGTAGATAAGTATTTAAGTTAGGCAGCCATGTAAATATGTATATTACATTAGTTAGACAGTTGTGTACATGTGTATTATAGCAGAAAAACTGAATAGATAATTACATAAAGTTAGGCATTCAGCTATAATACACATGTACACAAAAATTGTGTAGATAATTACATAAAGTTAGGCAGTCGTTTATCTGTGTATTATAGCTGAAAACTGTGTACATAATATTACATAAAGTTAGGCAGTCTTGTACATCTTTATTATAACTGAAAACTAAATATATATAAAACAGTATTGTTTCATAGCAAATTTTTGTCCATGCTGCTATAATAGTTTATCTTTTGATAATAATTTTGTTGTACTTCAGTTGTAATCCAATTTATTTAATTTCAGAGAACAGCTTCCATATGACACAGTCCAAGTTCTTAATGATCATTCTGAAGAAGTCTGGTTTTGCAGATTCTCAAATGATGGCCAGAAACTAGCTACAGGTTCTAAAGACAGCACAGTTATTATTTGGGATGTTGATCCTGTGAGTAATCTAATACGTTGTGTGATATATCTGTGTCAGTTTCCTGATGTTTCTTAAAGAAAGAAGCTGAGTTTAGCCTAGTGATTAATGCAGTGGACTGTGAATCTGAGGGTTCATGGTTTGCTTTCTGTTGCTGCAGAATCTCATTATGCACTTTGGGACCATGAGTGCATTATAAGAGTGATTGTCAAATCTCACCATTTGATTAAAATAGCCCAAGAGTTGGCAGCGAATGTTGTGGATTAGCTTCCTTCCTTCTAGTCTATCAGGCCAAAGTTAAGGACAACTAGTGCAGATAACCCTTGTGTAGCTTTGTGCAAATATCTGAAACAAATAGACAAACCTTCAGCTAAGTAGTGTAAAACATAAAGGATCATTGTTTATAAGTTTTTGTTTTATTGACAAACCTTCAGCTAAGTAGTGTAAAACATAAAGGATCATTGTTTATAAGTTTTTGTTTTATTGACAAACCTTCAGCTAAGTAGTGTAAAACATAAAGGATCATTGTTTATAAGTTTTTTTTGATTGCAAACAATTTGTTTATTTTTGATTCTTAACTTGGATAGCTTTTTTTCCTTTTAATGTTTTATAATACATTTGATGTGTTTGAAATTAGGGATATGCATATACTTATAATTAGTCTGTTTTTTTTTACAGAGCTTGGACGAAAATAAAATTTATAATTGAATATGTGTTTTGTTTTTCAATTTATAACTTGGTATTTGATTTGAAATGTAAAAATTTTCAAGTTGAGTAAAGAGTCTTTTAAAATATGATGGTATTTCTGTGTTACTGATTATCATGTTAATAAATTTCTTTACAAGAAGTATGAGTCAGGCTAGTAAGTAATGACAGTATTATCATAAACAGTTTGGATCTATTAAAAATCTAAACTAGAGAAAAGTATGCTCTTCTTTAAAACCATTTGTAAATCTCTAACAGTTTAATAACATATCGTAGGAGACATTACAGTTGAGACACAGTAGAACCTTGGAAGGCCACTGTTACGGACTTTCCTACCTTTCTTGGAGTCCCGATGATATCTATCTAATAGCCTGTGGTCGAGACAATTGCCCAGACTTGTGGGTGTGGCACGTTGAGGTGAGGATCTCATCTTTGTAGTTTTATAGCACTTTTATACCAGAATTTTTTAAACTGTGGTTATGACCCAGAAGGGGGGTCACAAGGTTATTGTATAGGGGTTGCAAGATCATTAAAATATTGTGATAACAGATATTTTAGAGTATGTACAGTAATTTGCTATCACTGTAAGTGTGTGTGAGTGTGGGGAATCATCACAGCCCAAAATATTTTTAAAGGGGTGACCCAGCATATACCATTTGTTAACTGTGTACTCTATAGTTGAACTTTTTATATAAGAACAGTAAGGCTCGTTTACCCTTATGGAAATTCCAGATTTCAAAACAAATCAGACATTAACCTGATCTTATGTATAATGTTTTGTTTACCCCAAAAATGATCCGTATGTTATCTTATGTTCCAATTCAATTTTCTTACATTATGAATTTTTCAAAAAGTACAGTAACAGTTCTGAAGCTATTGTAGATGTGATCAAATTAATGCTTCCTGATTGTGTATTAGGCTCCAGTGAATATTTATTTTAGATTAGATAATGATTAGTCAAAATATTTCCAATTTCATGCACCGATATTCTGAGAAATCAATAAAGAAATAAATTATTAATGTTCTTAAAATTTTAGTAAGATTCATAAGTAATACAAGTTTCTTTGTTTTTGGCCTTAATTTCACGATAGTCTTGTTCCCATGGATCATCCTTTCAAGCATTTTCTTTCCCTTTGTTTAATACCATGTCTGTCAAACATACATTAAAAGCTCATTAACAAATATAAGTAATTTATAACTTTTCATTCAAAATTTTTTTCTTTAAGAAAAACAGAAAAATTTTATAATTATGGACATTCTACATTAAGTATTTCAAAACAGTTTTTAAATATAAAGTTAACAATAAAATATTGTATCTTAATCTGAGTGAATACACTTTAGGTTATCTATATTAACTCTTACCATACAAGATTGGTTGATGCAACTGACCTTGTAACTACAAAGTAACCATCAGAGTTTCCATACTATAGCTTTTAAAAATATTTTGTGTATCTTCATGAAATTTGGCAAGTTGTCAGTAAACATTACATGTCTTTTGTACACAAGAAATCAGATTTTTATTAAAGACTAGCTGGAGTACTTGTACCCTATATGGAAGTTATGTAAATTCATGATTAATGAAAGGTTATTTTAGGACATGAAAAGTTGCTTCCTTTATATGTAATTGTAAAAAATGCAAAAACTGCAAAACAGAAAATGTGAAACTGTAAATTTGCATAGATCTAATGAACCTTCATGTCAAATTTGGTGAAGAGCCATCAACAGGGGTGAAGTAGTGGTAAAAGTGTCTATAAAAAAAACACAAAATGAAAAACTAAAAATTGATAATTATCTCCCCATGGACTCAATGAACCTCCATACCAATTTTGGTGAAGGTCCATCCACACCCTGTAAAGCAGTTACATGGACATACAATGGACAACACTGTTTTATTTATATAGATTTGTCCTTGAATATATAATGTTAGTGTTGACTGCTCTAAATGCAAAGTGATTTACATGTTAAGATTAAAAATTTTCTTCATGTGCAAATTTTTAAACTTCATTTACGTATCCTCTAAAAACCTCCTAAATTAATATCAAACATTTTTTTCTGTAAAACTTTATATTTTTATTTTCTCTACCATAACTCTATATGTACTCAGTCAATTTGAACGACCTTGTAACCACCATAAAAAGTACAAAATAAATCTGAATTATCTTTCCAGAATGATTATAGATTGTAACAGGCTACATCTGTTCATACTTGTTCATAATTGTTTCATTGCCCTTTGAACCACGTCTAACTAATACTACAGACAGACAAGACGTAAACCACTTAAACACATAGCTCATGTTACCATATTAAACTATATTATAATGTAACACATGAGCTGCTCATGGGCATATGTTGTGAATAATGTTTTATTTATTTGTCTTTTTCATTATCTTACCCAATCTAACTTAAAAAGTTTCTATTTTTTTAGATTCTACTTACTTTTATAACAATAAATAAAGAGTATACATGAGAAACAACTTACCTTTGACCTCTTGTTTTTTGCTGTCAGTTGCTGGTGAATTTAAGCCTACTTTTTTTATAATAATAGTACTAGTACACTAAATTTGCCTAAGTATGCCTAAGAACACAGAATAATAACACACAAAGCAAACAACAGCCTATAACCATTATAATTTAACTGACTTTCTAAGACCCTAAGGGCTTACATTAATTCCATTTGCTGTTCGATCTGAACACCATGAAATAAACTTTCAAACTGGAAGTGAATTAACAATACTCTGTACTGAAAATAATGTAGCATTATATGTCATTTGATAGACTGAAACTTTTTTATTTGTTGTAAATGCTATAGTGTAAAAAGGTCAGAGAGAATTATTGCTAATTTGTGAAAGAGAGGATGTAAAAGGTGGGCACGGAAAGTGGGTCTGATTTTTCTAGTTTACAATGCATTAAATAAATAAGATTGAAGGTTATAAAAATTAATTTCCCTTAGTAACTATATTATAATGAGTAGTTTATATCTGTAATTTGGAGAGGGGTGGTAAATAAATTAGAGAAGGGGGGAAGACCTACAGAACAAATGTCATGATTTTCATACTAGGAAAGATTGAGGATTTTTTAAATATTTTGTTATAAAATTAAGAACTTCAAACTTATACTAAAATTTGTTTTTTTAACTACATTTTTATGTCAAGCTTATTTGTGTGCCTTGATAACAAAAGTAGTTTAATTAAATTTTGAATGTAACTCTGTAAAAGGTCATGATATGGTTAATATACATATCATCTCAACACAAATTTACAATGTCTGCACGAATAGTAACTAATGAACTATACACCAACTACTGGGTCATACAAAGCCACTGACCTTTCTTCTGGGCAGCCAATGCTTTACACCAAGCCACCTTTAACAGAACAAGACTGTAATGCTTGATCTAGGAATATATTCTGCATCAAGAGCCTGGCCATAGATGAGCCAATCTAGCATTTCTCATTCTGTTAAAAATTATCTTTAGAATAAAAACATCTGACCCAGCTGTTATTTCCACCTGCAAAGATGATTAGAGAACTGTTTCTCAAACTGGTGTCCGTGAAGGTACTCCAAGGGGTCAGCAAGTCATGTCCAAAATTGCATAAAAATATTGTAATAAATATGATTTATAGAATACAAAATATTTTTTGTAAAATTAAATGTATATGAATTAAACCATTTAATTTTGTAATACAGCTTCTCATGTACACAGAATATTTTTTTCAAAACAGAAACATCATTAGGTTTGGGAATCTGACTAAAAAAATTTAAATTAAAAGGGGTCCTCGAGTTATTAAAGTTTGAAAACTGCTGGATCAGAAGAATTTTAAAAACAAAAAATAACACTTGGCTAAACCCAAGGCTGTCATTTAGATTTTAATTGTAGATAGGTTTATGCATTTGAAAACTTTACAATAAAAAATAATAATTACCATAACTACTTTGAACAAATGATCAAGCTTGGTGAGAATGAGGAAAAGTGTTTTCTGCCATAAGGTTACACAGAGTTAAGCTGACCTTCACACACACACGTGCAGTTAAGTTTAATATTTTATTGTTCACCAACAATATTTGGTTTATAATCTGGGTTACCCATATCTTCTTGAAGCAACTGATGCATCATTATAGCTTAAAAAAAATATCAGTACGTTTTTCTCTTTCTATAACATTACCACAGATGATGATAATAAAACATCACACATATCCTTTTTTTTAATATTAGTAGATTATTGAAGATCTGTGCTCTGTTGAGAATTTAAATTATTCTAACAATGGATCCTTGAAGTAACTAGCAATAGAGCCATACAGTAACTAACAATGGTACCTCGCCATAACTAACAATAGAGCCATACAGTAACTAACAATGGTACCTCACCATAACTAACAATAGAGCCATACAGTAACTAACAATGGAACCATGCAGTAACTAACAGTGGAGCCATACAGTAACTAACAATGGAACCATGCAGTAACTAACAACGGTGCCATGCAGTAACTAACAATGGAGCCATGCAGTAACTAACAATGGAGCCATGCAGTAACTAACAATGGAGCCATGCAGTAACTAACAATAGAGCCATACAATAACTAACAATG